TTGAATATTAAGCTGAATCTGAAATCATATAGCAAGTTCAGAGAAACCTTCATACCAGCTGATTCTTGAGTTTCACCCACCTTGCTGGCAAAGGTCCTTTATTATGCACCAAAGCATTTACACCTTAAAAGCACAGTAGCCCCTAAAACAGTTTATGGAGTTACACTTAGATGTCCCATCAACGTGGACTAGATGGCTTCATCTGACTCTCTATCCACTTTTATAACACCGACTGTGTAATTCCCTTTTCTGTGTAATGTGACTATCCTGGTCTCAGAAAAGGTATGAGGCTGCCACTCATATCAAAAGGTCTTTGATCTAAGAAACCAGAAAACCAAAAGTATAGACACCCCTCTTTCTTCCGCCACCTTAATGTAAATAGAATTTCAATAATATTATTTTGTATAAATATTTTTGTAAAATGTAACCTGGGAGGAGTTTTCGGGTTTAGCTGGCTTGCTGGCTCCATGTTGTTGTTAATCATGTTTTAATACTTTGAAAATCATGCTTTAAGTCTGAAAACTTTTCCCTTCTTTACTCATTTTTCCTATGATGCTGATCTTGTTTTCTCTCTTGCAGAACTGGAACTGATACTCCAGAGGGTTTTCAGAGGGAGGAGACTGCCCATCCTTTATCTGTTTTATCTTAGGAACCTTCAAAGAATGATAATTTAGAACTGTGTATTTTTTGTTCTACTGGAAATGGTCTCATTTCAGTTTTCACTTTCAGCTTTATTCACCTTGGTCTTCATTCTGTGATATTATGGCTGATGTTGTTAGGGGTTGTCGAGTCAAGTATGACTCATAGAGAGAGAGACTCTATGGAAAAGAGCTCTGAATCCTCTTATCCCGTGCCATCCTCACCGTCTCTGAAGTACTTGAGCCCACTGCTGCAGTCACTGTGTCAATTCACCTCATTACTTTTTTCATGTTAACAATTGTTGGGAACATCGCTTATATGGGCTTCCTGTGTGCAAAGTTCTTCCCACTGCGGAAGCTTCCTACAACCTCTGTGTCACAGGGTTGAGCTGGCTGGCAGCCTTCACATCTGGCTGAATGGCTCTTAGGCAAGTAAATAGTGATCTGGTATCTCTCTCCTCCCCAAAATAACAAATGCTGTAAAAGGAAAGATTGTGTGTGAGGTATACTATGATTTTTGAATTTTCCTAGGGCAGGAGATTACATTTCCTTGGCATTCTCCAAGTGTCAGTCTTGGGTTATAATTTCTTTGTTTGCAACCTATGTATGTGAGGTTATTAATGAAAAAGGCAGAGTGCTTTCTTCATTTTCATTTCAAGAGGTCTCTCAGGCTAACCTTTGGAAAGGGCCACCATGCTTGCAAAGAACAGCAAAGGAGGAGGACCCTCAATGACATGGAATGACCATGACTGTAGCAATGGGCTCAAGTGTGTCAGAGATGACAAGGATGGCTCAGGAAAGGACAGGGCTCAGATCCGTTGTTCAAAGATGCTACGAATCATATTCAACTCAATGGCGCCTAACAGCAGCAACAACAATAACAACAACACTACAAATACAAGAGGCCCAACAAATGAATGGAAATCCAAGTTCTCTGCAAACGTCTGTTAAAATCTCAATTTAAAAAAAGAAGTGTAAAAAAAAAGAAAAGAAAAAAACCAAACTAATACAAGAGGCCAAATTTTCAGGAGTTACTTTTTAATGCTGACTCCCTTATCATTATTCATTTTGTTACCACAGAAACATATATTCAGGAAAAGAAAAATAATCACTTGTGCTTAAGCCTCTGTAAACTCTCAACCCTCAGGCACATGTGTTCCCTCTGCAGGAGAGAACGTCATCCCAATTTGTAAATAATTAATCATAGACAAATCAAAGTTATTCTTTTGAGCTAATTCAGAGGTTTTCCCTTCTAAACATATGTATCTGTACAACTGCAGTTGACATACACTCAAAAGTATTTCTTCCTTATGTATTATCATCTCCCTCCTTATAGCCTGGCTACTTTTATGGTAGTGATACTTTTAAAAAAACTAAATCTATTTGTATGTTGTTGTCTACCGTAGTGTTGCAACCAACCCATAGCTGACTCTCTAATGAGTCCCAGAAGCAGTTTATCTCACGGGAGAAGACTGCCCATCCTTCCCTTGCAGGCAGCTGTGGTCCTGAACTACGTGCCTTCAGGATTGCAGCGCAGCCTCCCACCACTAGGCGACCAGAGCTCGGTAGTGATAATATTTGTATGCTATTGATATCATCACTTGGATAACCAATACGGCTTTTCAGACTTTGCAGGTCCAAATCAAAACTCTCAGTTCCTTTCCAAACTATCTAATTACCACCAATGTAATGGCACCAACAATCATGTAACTGTTCATACCCCCTAAAAATCCTTCAAAAGTCATCCTTACCTTCATTCAATTTACTAGTAAATCCTGTGGGTCTGACTTTAAAACTTAAACACTTCCCCCCTCATCTCTACTGCTAGCTGTCACCTTCATGAGCCCCCTGGTCTACATCACTCCATGCCCTAACCTCTCCAATCCATGCTCTTATCTTAGTCTCCATTATCTACTTACCCAGCAGCCAGTGTAAAGCAGATGATGCCACTTCTCTGCTTAAAACTCTGCTTAGAACAAAACCCAGATTCTCCTCCACAACTTACAGAATCACTCATGTTTTGAGCCAAGCCTGCCTCTCCATTTCCATCTATCACTCTTTGTCTTTAACATTATGTGACTTCAAACATATAATGCTAACTCACCACTTCTGAGTTTTGCATCTGCCATCCTTTCTGTCTAGAATACTCCCACTCTGCTCCTGGAGCCCTGGCATTTTTTTAATCTCAATTCAAATGCAGCTGACTTCAGAATCATTCCCCAGTATGGCTACCACCCTTCCAGTACTATCTACTTATCATCCTTTGTTTGCTTGCATAGCACCTACCTCAAATGCTAAACTGCTGTTCAGCATTCTTGAGTCTTTTCCAATACATAATGACCATACGTACAACTGTCCAACATGCTTGACCCTCACAATCGCTAGTGGGTCTGATTCCATCATTGCAGCCGCTGTCAATCAATCTCATTGATCAGTCTCCTCTCTTTAGTGGACCCTCTACAACATGCCTAACATCTTTCCCCAGGCCTGGTGCCTTTTAAGAAAAAGTCTCAAGTATATGAAACAAAATCTTGTCATCTGGGCCTCTAAGGACCATCACAGGGGCACAGCTTCCAGAACAGATGGACCACTTCTTCTGGGAGTCTGTGGTGGATTCAATATTCCTTGCCAACACCACCATGAAAAAGCACCAATTCTGTGGTTTTCCTTATTGTCCAACTTTCACAAGCATATAAGGTGACTGAAAAGACCATAGATTGGGTCAGGTGCACAGCAGCCCTCCTCCCCCAAAATATAACAAGCTCTAGGCAGAGACCAAAGTTATCTTGTTTATTACTATCTCCAGGCCTGAACCATACCAACACTTAGCAGATATACCAGCATCAAGCAGATCTTCAAAATATATTTACTGAACAAAGATTTCATAGACAGTATTGAAATGGTTCACAAACACTAATTAAATGGATTTTGATAATTAGCTGTACTATATAAACTGAGTTATAAGTAAAATCCAATGTTGTTGTTGTTATGTACCAACAAGTCACCTGTGACTCACAGCAACCCTGTGTACAGCAGCTCTGAAGTCTGCTCTATCCTGAGCCAGTCTCACTAACTCTAACACACCTAACCTTCCCCAGGTCCTATATCAATCCATCTCATCCAGGGTCTTCCTCTCCTGCGCTGTCCCTCCTCCCTTCCAAGCATGATGTCCCTCTCCAAGGACTGGTCCCTCCTGGCCACATGCCCAAAGTATGTCAGACGGAGCTTCAAAATCCTAGCCTCCAAGGAGAAACTTGATTTAAAAAAAAGAAAAATTAAGGTTATATGAACCTAAGGTGAAGAAATGAAGCACCACTTTACTAAATTATAGTTATTTACAATTGAAATTAAACAAAGAACAATAAAACCAACTAGAATCAAAGGCCACTTGAACCAAATGCAGAAACGAGAAAACCAAGTCAGTGGCTCTAACACTAAGTCACAGCACACTTGTGTATGTGATCTTTACTGTTCACTCTATAAAACAGAACAAGCAGCATTTTGTCTCTAATACTGTTCTCTGTATTAGTGTCTCATTATCCAAACCAAAGGAGAGTTCCATCTTCACAGATGCCTTAACCATTGCTAAAGACATCCGTAAGAATTTGTATTCCTGCCATTTCCAAAGATAAAAGCAAAGAGATCCAATGAGCTTAAAGAAAGGATTTTCCACTGGAGAGAAAGGAATACATCATCATGTATTTATATGATGCATCAGTATCTTAGCATTATTTTAGATCCCAGACAGATTAAACAGTTGAGACTCCAGAGGCGAAGAACAAAGGCCATCAAGAAGGAACTAAGAAGTGACAGAGTCAATGCAAGAAAACAGCCTCCATTATTTCTACCTCCAAGATTCCAGAGTGCACAGCAAATCAGAGATCATCAATTAAGAAAATACAGAAGGCAGAAAACTCTATTTACAGGAGTTGCCCTAACAAGTAGAAGGAGACTAAAATACCATTTTAAATAAAGAAAAAAATCTCAGATCAAAAGTAAGCTAAGTTTATCTAGACTAGGGGAAGTCATTCCAAGAGCACTCAGCTGCCTCAAAGACAAAACCTCATATTTTAACACATTGTAACATTGCATAACTTCTAGCTTAGAGGCTTGCAAAGAACAGCCATCAAATAGTGATCCTAAACAAAATCTTTTAACCCTGGGATTTCTGATTCAGCAGGCATTTAAAGCTTAATTCACAGACCACACGTGATTCTGACGGGACATTCAGAATTAAGAAGCACAATCCTAAGATTCTAAGGAAACATCTCTTTACTTAAACTAGGATACAGTCTGAGCACCAAAACTCTCTCCACAAGCTAGAATCTCCCAAATACAATACTTACTTAGACTTACACTCACCTTTCTGAAAAACCAGAGTCTATAAATTCTCTAGCCCGTTTTCTATCACTAAAAAAAAAAAAAAAAGAAAAAGATAGCATAAAAAGAACACATCTATAAACGCAACTTTCTTTCATGAGAAATGTATTGTAATTTGTCTAATCAATCCCACACTGAGTGCATCCAAACACAAAAAGTAACAAATGTAAGAGGTATGTACATAAAGTAAAAAAATTCATGGGGCTAAGAAATTACAATACAGGAAGTACTGTCACAGGATGAAACCAGCTCAACAAATCTTTAGAGAGGAAAACACTGCAGATTTACAGAAGAGAAAAGTCCTACTGGTTACAAAAATGACAGACAATGTGACACTATTAAATCAAGCATGGCAAATCCTGGTCATTTTAGAGGCAACCCTACCGGGACAGACGTGGCTCTCACACTATAATCCTTCAAGAGGATGCTAAAATACTCTGTAGATAGATGTACATGAGGATTTTTATAAGAACATGAATAAAGTCTACGAATTACAGTTGACTATCATCTCATAGCATGTGGTAACATAAAGTATGTATGTATAGTTAACTTTTCAGTGTCATTGGGGGAGGAGTTTAAAAACACTGCCAAAATTGTTTGTTTATTCTGAAAATCCTCTAATCAAGAAGATTCCCACTCAATGAGCAGTTCTGCTTGCTAGAACTCTAAGTCAAACATAGAACTCCTGGTGCAGTACACAACCACGTCAATAATATCAAATGGAAGAAGTGAGCAAACTTGGGAGCCATTCACTTAAGTGTTTTTGTTGTTTCTGTTTTGTTTTGTTTAAAATAGAAGGATGAAGCCCTCAAAGTATATAATACAGAGAAAAATCAACTAAGAAAATGTGTACTGGTAAAGATAAAGAATGTAAAATTATGACACTAAAAACTACAAGTAAGTAATATACAGGGAATTTATTCTGTTCAATGCTTAAAAGAATGAAGAGAAAAATAAAGTTTAAAATTAATTGGTCTCTTTCTTTTTAAGGGAATAAAAATTAATAAGTAAAATTCTGCCTCCAGTAATGTTTCTTCCGTGTAATATAATACAATTTTTACATCTCCAAAGCAGCTAAGTACTGTAATTATATAAAATATTTCAGAGCTGAAAATTCAGAAGCTTTCATTATAGGTTATTTATTAGAAAACGGTTGCTGAAGAGTGGCTTCATTTCTGAAATGTGATGTAAAATGACATAAAATAAAATAGTGATTTTAAAGAAAATAGTAACTTTTAGGAACTAGTCTAAAACAGTGCGCTCTACATGTGCAAAGAGCAGACTTGGTCACTAAAAAAAATAAAAAGTTAAGGTTCAAGTCCACCCAGAAGTGCCTTGGAAGCAAAGTTGGCAAACAGGCCACCCAGAATCCTACAGACCACAATTCTAATATGATATGCACCGGGCCACCGGGAGTCAGGCTGACTAGATAATAGCTGGTTTATCTGTTTAGCTACTACTATAAAATGAGAATCAAACACAAACCATGAGAAGAAGTCAGACATTATATTTAATAAGTCACATCCTTACCCTGGGACCCAACCAGTGCTTTCGGCAATGTGAGTCTGAGTAACCATTGCTGGTGCAGGGGTATAAGGACTCCCGATCAGAACACTTCCTGAAGTGGTTAGTCTCTGCGGTGTGCTTATAATCTGTAAAATTAGGAACAAAGAAAACAATATGAAAGAAAAGATTATTAACATAAATAATATGTTAAAATTTACTTATTCTTGTTGTTCTAAATATAGGGTTTTATGAGGAGAAATGTGGGGTCAAGATTAGTGGAAGATCTATCAACCATCTGCGTTATGCAGATGGCACAACGCTGCTTGCTGAAAGTGAGGAGGACCTGAGGACCTGAAGCATTTGCTGCAGAGGGTCAGGGACTGCAGCCTTCAATATGGATTAAGGCTCAATGTCAAGAAGACAAAGATTCTCACCACTGGGCCAATTGGCAGCATCAGGATGGATGGTGAAGAGATTGAAATTGTACACAGCTTTAGTCTGCTTGGCTCCACAGTCAACAGTCTTGGCACCAATAGCCAGGAAATTAAAAGGCGCATTGCCATGGGAAAGTCTGCTGTTAGGGACCTCTCCAAAGTACTGAAGAGCAATGGTATCTTTCTGGAGACTAAGGTGCATCTGATACAGGCCATGGTCTTTGCTATCACTTGTTATGCATCAGAGAGTTGGACAACAACTAGGGAGGATAGAAGGAGAATTGGTGCCTTTGAGCTGTGGTGCTGGAGAAGAGTATTGAGAGTATCATGGACTGCTAGGAAAACAAACAGATTCATCCTAGAAAGGGTTAAATCTGGTGGCTCCTTGGAGGCAAGGATTCTGAGGCTCCATCTAACATACTCTGGACATGTTGTTAAGGAGAGACCAGTCCTTGGAGAAGGACATCATGCCTGGGAGGGTGGAGGGACAGCGCAGGAGGGGAAAGTCCTCTATGAGGTGGATTGATTCAGTGACTTGGGATAATCGGGATGGGAGTGTCAGAGACAGTGCAACCGGCACAGGACAGAGCAGAGTTTAGGGCTGTTGTACATAGGGTCACTATGAGTCGCAAGCGACTCGACGGCACATAACAACAACAACAACATTCTCGTTGTTGTGCACCACTGAGGTGAAACCTGGCCATAGTTGACCCTCTAGCAGATTTTCAGAGGCAATGTACCACACAGAGAAGACTATCATTTTCTTCCAGAGCAGCTGGTAGATTTGAACCACATACCTTTGGGTTGGCAGCACAACTCCTTACTACCAAACTACCTAAGCACCTTAAAGTGTATGTAACACCACTTACCTGAAGTATAAACAATACTTTTGATTTGCTTACATCCTTGTACTGAAGTACACGAATCCTAAATATTAGCATCTAAATCTACATTCTAGGCATTACTGAGCTGAGATGGCCACTATGAATCAGAAAATGAAAAGATCTATGGTGCTAGGGATAGGGATACAATTTAAGGTAGAATGATGTTGCATTCATAGTCAAAAAGAACATGCCGGGGAGCTCTGGTGGCCTACTGGCAAGGAGCTGCAACTACAATCCCAGAGGCGCACGGTTCGAATCCACCAGATGGTCTGCCGGGGAAGAAGAGTAAAATAAAATTTAAAAAAAAAAAGAACATGCCAAGATCAGTCCTGAAGTACAATGAGAAACAGGATGCTATTCATATGAACACATGGAAAACCTGTTGCTATAACTTACTATTCAAATATATGCAGCAAACACTACAGCAAAAGATGACGAAATGGAGGAATGCTACCAATCTCTGCAATCAAGAGGCACTAATGATAACCTGGAATGTGAAAGTGGTAAATAAAGAAGGATAATCGTGAATTGGAAAATACGGACATGGTGACAAAAATGAAGATGGAGCTCAAGTGATATAATTTTGTAAAGTTAATGATATATTCATCGTAAATACCTTTTTAAAAAAACAAAACCAAACCAAAACAGCAACTATACACATGGAGCTTACTTCATGGACTACACAGCAATCAGACTGACTACATCTATGGATAGAGTTGGGCCAGTGGCGGTCAATAGTGAAACAGATCCTCAACTACTCAACTGGAGGCCCAAACAGCAGTTGAAAATTAAAATATGTCCACTAGAGCCCAAATATGACCGTGTGTCTATCCCACTTGAATTTTAAAACCACTGTAAGAATAGATTTTATAACGGAGGTCTGGAGGCCTAGTGGCAAGAAACTGCACTGCAATCCCAGAGGTACACAGTTTGAATCCACCAGATGCTCTGCTGAAGAAGGAGGGGCAATCTCCTCCTCTACCAGTCAGATCTGATTTGACTGTACACACACACAAAAGAATAAAATTTATTTAAAAAAAGAATAGATTTTATGCACTGAACCCTAATGATCAAAGGCCAGATAAGCTGTCAAGACCAAAATGGACATGAGAAGAGACTCTAAAAACTACACTAGAACACAGGGAGGCAAAACGAAGAAATGCTGAAGTTAAAGAAATAAACAGAAGATTTTAGAGGGCAGCTCGAGAAAACAAAACACAGTACTACAACAAACTGTGCCAAGAAGGGGAGGTAGAAAATCAAAAGAGAAAAACCCACTCAGCATCCCTCAAGCTTAACAAACTGAAAAACCATTCAAGTCTTCAGTTACAATACTGAAGGATTCTAAGGGCAAAATCTTAAATGATCCAGGAAGCGTCAACAGAAGATAGAGGGAATATGCAGTCACTGTACCAGAAGGAACTAACTGGCTGATGGAGGAATACACAAAATCACTGTGTCAAAAGGAATCAATGACACAGAACCATCTCAGGAAGTAGCTTATGAACTAATGGTAATGAGTAAGTTCAAGCTGCAGTGAAGACACTGGGGGGAAAAACAGGGCCCCAGGTATTGGTAGGCTATCAACTGAAGTGTAACAACAACAACAACAAAAGTAGATGTGCCTACCAGTCAAGAAATTTGGGAGGCAGCTACATAGCCAACTTACTGGAAGAGACCCAACCATATTTATTCCCATTCCAAAATGATGATATAACAACAGAAGGTGGAAATTACCAAAAAAATGGCATTAACATCACACACAAAATCTTGAAGATTATTAAAAAATGGCTGGAATGACACATCCACAGAGAAATGCCAGAAGTCTAAGATGTATTCAGAAGAGGTTGTGGAACCAAGGACATAATTTCTGGTGTCAGCTAGATCTTAGCGGAAAGAAAAGAATACCAGAAAGATGTGTACCTATGTTTAACTGATGATGCAAATGCCTTTGACTGTGTGGATCACAACAAATTATCGCTAACACTGAGAAGAATGGGAATCCCAGAAGACATAATTGTGCTCATGAAAAACAGACTAAAAGGCTATTATCAGAACAAAGCAAAGTAATACTGCATGGTTTAAAATCAGGAAAGGTGTAGTACGGTTTATCATTTCTCCATATCTATTCAATGTGAATGCTGAGCAAATCATTTGAGAAATGGCATCAAGATTGGAAGAAGACTCATCAACTACCTATATTATACAGCTAACATAATCTGGCTTGCTGAAAATAAAAAGGAGTGAAATATCTGCTACAGAATTTCGAAGATAAAACCTTCAATAAGAAGTACATCTCAATATTAAGAATAAAATTTGCTCACCACTGGACCAACAGGCAACATTGTGATGCATGGACAAAAGACTGAAGCAAAAGACTGCATTTTACTTGGATCCACAATCAACACCCAAGGTAACAGCAGTCAAGAAATCAAGACCCATTGCACTGGGGGAAATCTACTGTCAAGGACCTCTCCAAAGCGCTAAAGAACAATGATGTGTTTTTAAGGACAAAGGTATGCTCAATCCCGAGTTATGGTCTTCTCAATTACTTGCTATGTGTTTGGGAACGGAATGAAGAATAAGGATTGCAGAGGAACTGATGCCTTTGAGTTGTGGTGCTGGAGGTTACTGAATAACTCACAGACTCCCAAAAGAACAAACAAGTCTATCTTAGAGGAAGCACAAGGTTTCACAGGGTTTCTATGAATGGAGTATATTAGAGATGATGAGGGTTGTGTGATAGGGCAAGGATCAGATCTATTGTTCATAGGGTCAATGTGAATTGTAGATTCCTCGATGGTCCCTAATAATAATTGTTAAACATAGTGTTACAAGTTAACAATTTAACAATTGTTCAAAGTAGAGTACTTTTAGTGTCTAGCAGATCCAAGAAAAAGGAACACTTATTATTCGGAATTTCAGAGTTTATAGGTTCCCCCTAACACAAATAAAGAAAATGGGATTTTCCATTTAACTGTAATCATGTAAATTCTCTAACACTTTAAACTGAAAACTAATCAAGTGACAGAACCTCCCTTGGAAGATTTTTCTGCCTTTGAGTGACCTAACGGGTTCTACTGCCATCTACAGTTAGAAAAGCCAAAACCAGCAGAGGCATTAATTATGAAGGGAAATGTCATCTACATAAACAGAAAGTCTCCTGCTAAAGGATTTTGCTTTTCTTTACAAAATTTCAGTTTTTCCCTATAAGGAATATACCATTTTTAACCTTGGAAACAAAATAACTATGATCACAAAGCTATGATCGTAAAGTTAAATTACCGTGACATAGGCCAGAATTACAGCTATTAAAACTCAAATCCTAACAGGGATGTTTGTAATCCTGAGATCTCAGAATCTAAAACCAACAAACTAGTCATTCATCTCTTCAATGGGGAAAATGCAAACTTTTGCATTTAGGTCTAAGGTCAAAGACTATAGATTAATACTTCTGATTGTTGCTGTTGTTGTTGTTAGTGCCGTCGAGTTGCCTGTGACTCACAGTGACCCTATGTACAGCAGCTCAGAAGGCTGCCCTGTCCTGAGCCAGTCTCACTGACTCCGACACACCAATCTCACTGCCCTAGTTACTGTGTCAATCCACTCATCGGAGGTCTTCCTCTCCTGTGCTGTCCCTCTACTCTTCCAAAAATGATGTCCTTCTCCAAGGTCCTCTCTCTCCTGGCCGGCCATATGACCAAAGAATGTGAGATGGAGCTGCAAAGTCCTAGCCATGACAGAGAAACTAGCTCCACCTTCTCCAAGATAGACTTATTTGATTTCTTGGTGGTCCATGGTATGTTCAAGACTCTTCTCCAGCACCAC